AGTTGATGTTGGGATCTGAAGTTGCTTTAAAACAACTCAAAGTGACTTTCCTGACTTCCTGAAGTCAGTAATTGACTTTTTCGGATCTGTGCTGAGTTCCTCACACTTTCCCATTGGAGCATTTGTGGCTGAGTCTAATTAGTGCATCAAATGGTCCTTATTTAAATTAGTGTGCAGGATTCAGCAGCTGTAGTCAACTGTAATCTGCAATCTAATTTGTCCGGGACAGTTATTTTTTATTTTTTTAAATGATTCTTTTCAACCACAATTTAAAAGCAATGTCTTATTTCACTAAATTATAATTTAACAAATTTTTATTTATTATTACTTTTTTCCAGCTTCTAGTTATTTGAATAACTTTTGTGAATTTAGCCTTTTCTTTAATGAAAGCGTATGAATACATTTGAGGACGACTGTACTTATGACCCAGCTGATTTAGTCACATTTCCAGAAGACCGATATTAAATTTATGAAAGAAACCAAATGGACAAAACGGTTGTTTTTTGTTTTTTTTTTTTGGTTTCAATCATTCCGTTATAGAAAAATAAGAGTTATAGGAGTCATTGGAAACTTTGGCTGCCATGATATACGTTTATATAAACCTTTGTTCATAAAATAGACCTGCTGATTGATTTGTGATGTAACATGACCACAGTGACGGACACGTCTACAAACAGAATTGTAAAATCTTTGGCAACATTTTATTCCTTTCACAGTATTCAGCACCACATTTCCCAGTTTCAGTTCCAGTGTTTCCAAACATAAACAATCTACATCTCTGTTCAGTAGAGGAATAAGTTCAGATTTTCACTGCAGTTTTCTCCGACGGTCTGCCTCCTGTCTCCTTTGGCAAGTGGTTCTTCTGATGGTTCCTGAAGTCGCTCCTGTGTATGAATTCTTTCCCGCACACCTCGCAGCGATACGGAGTTTCTCCCGTGTGGACCCGTCTGTGCAGTTTGAGGCTGCTGGACTGAGTGAACCTCCTGCCGCAGATGTTGCAGCCGTACATCTTCTCCCCTGAGTGAACCACCATGTGCAGCTTCAGGTTGCTGGGGTTGGTGAACTTCTGCTCGCACTGATCGCAGGCGTACGGCTTTTCCCCCGTGTGCATGCTCATGTGGTATTTCAGATTGACAGTGCAGCTGAACTTTTTGTCGCACACGTCGCAGACCGGCTGCTGACCCGGTTTCTTCCCGGTGTGGATCCTCATGTGGTTCTGGAGCGCGCTGGCGTGGCTGCAGCGTTTCCCGCAGGTCTCGCAGACGTACGGTTTTTCTCCGGTGTGGGTCAACATGTGGTGCTTCAGAGCGCTCTTGTGGCTGCAGCCTTTGCCGCAGACCTCGCACATGAAGAGCTTTTCTCCGGTGTGTTTGCTCAGGTGGTTCCGGAGGACGCTCATGTCGCTGCAGCCGAGGCCCAGCTCGTCGCAGCAGTTTTCCGTCTGCATGTGGGTGAATCGGTGAGCGGCCAAAGACGAGGCCGAGAAGAAGCTCTCGCCGCACATTTCGCAGACGAAATCTCGATCTCCTGAATGGCGATTCTCGTGATCGGCCAAACTCTGCCTGCACTCAAAGGTCTCTGGGCAAAGCGAGCAAACAAACGTCTTTCTCAGCGCACAGCACCTGTGTCGCTGCAGCGCCAGCAACCCCGTGAACTGGTTCTCGCACAGCGGGCACGTGTGGGTGTTCGGCTTCCTCGTGTTGTGCTGCCGCATGTGCCTGTGGAAGGTGGACTTGTAAGCAAACTCCGTCCCACACTGGGAGCACTTGTACAGCTTCTCTCCGGTGTGTCGTCTCGAATGTGCGATGAGCGTCCGGAGAACGGCGAAGCGTTTGCCGCACTCGGAGCAGAGGTGGGGTCTGGAGTGCGTCAGGTAGTGTCGGTTCATGAGGCACTTCAGAGCAAAGGTTTTGTCACAAGAGGGGCATTTGAACGGACCTGCATTCAACTTCTTTTTGATCTTTGACGCGATGCTCGAAGGGTCTGCGTCCTCCTGGTTGGCGTCTTCATCGCTGATGGAGGCCGACTCGTTGAACAGAGCTTCAGGTTCAGACGAGGGTCCGGAGTTATTCTCCTCATGTGAGGCTGCATCAGCTGGAACAAAAAACAAGACCTGGGACTGAAGATTGCTTTGCTTGAAAAAGAAAAACCAACATTCATCGCTATTTTCCTAAAACTGCTTCACACTGGATTGGTGTGTGCTTATTGCAGATACAAGTTAACTACTCCACAGTACCATTTGTCCAAGGTAAAAGTGACAATGGATGAAAAACTAATTTAAATGAGCTTGTTTTCACACAAACGCAGGGGGGATATCTTTGTTAAGAAACAGTGGTTACCAGGTTCTGTCACTGATTCTGAGTCCGCTGCTGCTGCTGCCGTCGGCTCTTCACTCTGTTGTTCCTCTGAAAACACAAAACATGTCAGAGACATCAGTGAAGCAAAACCTCCCTGAAGCTGGTACTATGAGGAGCCTCTATACGTAGAAATAAACGAGAGAATTGAACGTTTTGGTTGGTATTTCTTATGGCTGCTTGATTATGGCGAAAATCTTAATCAAGATTATTCTGGTCAGTAATGAGAAGCTGTGTATCATGAAAACATTTTAAAAGTCGTCTTATTCACATTGGATTTTCTTGAACTTTAAATATAATCACTAAGAACTGACAATGACAACACGATCGCTTTTATTCTAACTGGTTGTCAACATTCTGCAGCTATCAACCACTTGACTGTTTTCCTCTGCAGGAACTTATGGGCCATCTTAGAGCGGTCCAAAGCTTTGTCAATGTTCTGACCACAAGAAACGCCCTTACAGAACCTATTTCTGGGTCATTTTCAGAGGAGAACAAAGTGCCTACTCTAGAGATGGTACTTCTGAGCGGCTATGAAAAACTGACACTGATTGCTCAAACGTTAAGAAGACTAATGCTGATTGGTTAAACCTGGGGGAGACAAACTTTCCCGCCATCAGCAGCAGAGCGTCTTTCATCTTCACTACGGTTACTAGATTCTGGTTGAGTGGGTGTAAAGAAACACATATCAGAATCAGAATCAGAATCAGTTTTATTGCCAAGTAATTTTTACATCACCAGGAATTTGACTTGGTCCATTGGTGCAAAGAAGCAGAAGAAAATATATTTATATACATATATATACACTTGCTTATGAGCAGTGCAAAATATTTTGGTCTGACTGTCAGACATTTAACGTTGTCTCCATCTTTGTTTTGGACAGATTACCACTTGTTGGGAAGCTTTCAGCACATTAAGCTGTCTTCAACTCAAGTAATGTTGTCTTTACTTCAAAGTGATGCAGAGAAGAGAAACTAAAGTGACCATAAGTGACAGAGAAAACACACAGAAGAGACTCTCACACTGAGCTGAAACTAAACAAGTGCACATAAATAGATAAATTCACGGGGCAGGTAATTGAAGAAGGATATCACACAGCAGCTGGTTAAATACCTCTGCAATATATGTGATCATTCATCTTTCCCGCTGCTGGCTGGACTCCTCTCTGGATTTTCTTTCTCCTCTTACAAGAACTCCTGGCTGCTGATTCTGTCATAACAAAAGCCCAAAGTCTGGTTTATTATTCAAAGAAACACAATTACTTTCACATAAAAATCCTCCTCAGCTGCTGGGCGACTTACTTTTTGTGGGAGCAGCGATTTTCCCCCGTTTTGGCTTCGTGCTCGTCTGTTTGGTCTCACCATTCAGCTCGACTCTCTGCTCCGCAGCAGGAACGTCTTCAGCTTCACACATGGACTTTTTCAACATCAGTGAGATTTTCTCCACTGCATCTCGGGTCCATGTTTTCATGAGGGATGCAAACTGGTTCTGTACAGTCACGGGAGGAGAAAGAAGGATGTAAGGATACGGTGGCTTTCTCAGCTTTATATCCACATGCATGGAATAGTTTGGGGGTTTTGGACTAATGGTTGGGCAGAAAAAGACGATTTCTTTTCACTATTTTCACAATTTCTACTAGTCAAAACTTTTATTTATGAGTAAATACAACAATATCTCCCTGAAATTGCTCCAGATTCAGCCCAGACAATACAGAAATAATCGTACATTACACAACTATTCCATCTCTTTGTAGCAGAACTGAAATTATCAGCCAACTGACTCCTTCATAAACGTGTAGTGTAGTAGTAAGACACTGGCACGGTTTGACTTGAGGAAAGGCAGGTTACTGATGCCAATTTTAGACGTGTTATTAACCACTTATGAGATCAGATTTGCAGTTAAAAAACAGCAATTACATCAAATATTTCTTCATTTTCAAGTAGCCCAGGAGAAGAAAAGCAGCAACACATCTACTAATATCTGCCATAACACTGAAACCACTTGCCTATTATTGTTTTGGTTCTCCTCATGTGGCCATAATTTCATATCTGGGGCCACAGCAAATGTGTGTCTTTTGTGAAACTTTAGTTTTGTCTCAGTTTATAGAGATCAGGCCAAACATGTTGGATGATTATAGGCAATTCTATAGTATTCTTTCTAATGTTCAGGCTATGCTATGTCTAATGTCTTTGTTTAGACTGAAATTAACATAATTTTTAGATGGCTTTTATATCCATCCATTATCTATACACCACTTAATCCTCACTAGGGTCATGGGGGGCTGGAGTCTATCCCAGCTGACTCAGGGTGAAGGGAGGTTCACCTGGACAGGTCACCAGTCTATCACAGGGCTACACTTAGAGACAGACAACCAAGCACACTCACATTCACACCTACGGACAATTTAGAATCACCAATTAACCTCAACGTGTTTCTGGACTGTGGGAGGAAGCCGGAGAACCTGGAGAGAACCCACGCTGCACGGGGAGAACATGGAGACTCCATGATCCCAGTGTCCTCACCGGGAGCTTCTAGCTGCGAGGCAACAGTGCTAACCACCGAGCCACCTTGCAGCCTTGGCTTTTATGTATAAAACAAGAAATTTCCTCTTTTAAATGATCTTATCCTGAAAATATGACACACTTGAATGAAATCGGTCATTTCAGTCACAATTTAGAGGCTGAACTCACTATTTGGCAACCGTAAAACTACATTTTATCATTAAAACTGGTTCTTTTAAAGCTAGTTTAACAGGAAAACAAACTGGATTGGTTCCAATGTAGAACACAGAGCAGGTAAAAACACCTGGATTGGTTCTAATACAGGACACAGAGGAGACAAAAACAAAAACAACAACTGGATTAGTTCTAAGGTAGGACACTGTGAAGATAAAAACACCTGAACTATTTATAATATAAGATACAAAACGGATAAAAACACCTGGATTGGTTCTAATATAGGACACACAGCAAATGAAATGCAGGTTGAGGCTTTAAACTGAAAAGGCTCACTTTTTTGTTGTTGTTGACATAACACATTTATACAACTTGCATCCATTCAACACACTGAAATAAATGTAAAACTTTTCTATGTTCCTGCCTCTTTGCTGGCGTCCTCACCATGGCAACAACCAGCAGGGCTGATGGGTATTGTAGTTTTTAACTAGTGCTGTTTAAGCTAGCAAACTAATGTCGCTACAACAAGACTTCCTGTTAAATAAACGAGTTGAAACACTCATAATGAAAGCAGGGGGTCAGTTTTTAACTCTGGACAACGTGCTGTCTTCGTGTGAGTTACCGTTAACTCTTCGTTAAAGCGCCGCCGGTCCTCCGGTGGGGTCACCTCTCTCTCCTCCTCTTCACAGCGCTGCCGAGCGGCCATAGCCGAGCTCTCCTCCAGCAGCCTGCGGAGCTCCGCCACCGCCGCCTCCACCACGCTCTCCATCACGGCCCGGATCCGACCCTCCAGCGTCTCCGGGCCCGACATGTTCGTGAGTCGCTCCGGTCGTTTAATGAAACTTTTACACACAGCACAAAACTATAAATATCACTTTAAGCTACGAAAAAGTTGCTTGTTTTTCATCCTACTTCTTCTTCGTGGGATTTCTTTTTCTTCTTCGTGGGGTGGAATTTGCGGAGGCCCAGGTTCAGCAGAGGCGTGTTGCTGCCCCCACAGGTCATTTGTAGAACTGCAGGGACACAGTTAAATCCAGCCCAGTGGGGAAAAAAACTCAATCTTCTCGATTTTGTTGTTTTAGTTAAATATTGATTTCATCCATCGAGCTCTGACTGTCTGCATGAGGCCTCTGATTTATCATTTCTGCCTCCCTATTAGCAGCCCGTGATTCAGAGCAGAGCACAGGGACCCACTCATAAAATGAACAAATAAACGAGTAAATAAGTAAAAAACAAAGCTTGCTCATGATGGATCCCCCGGATCCTTTGATTTGTTGAGTTTCTATGCCTTAGCCTTAAGATTATATTAGTTAGGTGAAGTTCCATTAAATTATAACGCCATAATCTTTAATTAAATCAGAAAAAAATTGTTCTACAGATACTAAAAAACGTAAAAATACTAAATATTCTTACAAACATTTTACAAATTTTATTGTTTTTGTGAAATTACAGATAATATCAAGTAAAATACCTGTAAAAAAAAAAAAAAAAAAAGCATTGACTATATATGCATTTACAAAGAACAATAACAACAAAAACAACAGGCCAAAGCAGTAAATAATGTCCACCTTTAAAAAAAAAAAAAATCAGTGTATTTACAAATAATAATTAATTTTTTCACGGTGCATGACCATAAAATTACAGGTTATTTGTATTTAAATTGGCTAAAAATCACATTTTTTTTGCAGATATTTGCAGTTATTGTCACATTTTATTTATTTATACAGTTGTTGTTGTTGTTGTTTTTAAATATTACAGTATTTTAATGCTTTCATTGTATTGTTTTCTGACACTTTTGCTGCCAGGATTTTTTCTTTACATTGCAGATGTTGATGTTTTCCTCACTGTTAACACTAGAGGGCACAATTCTGACATAAATATGTTTTAATAACCTCATGTCTGGACAGCATTAGCATCTGTTCAAAACTGCACTTTAATGACANTTATCATTTCTGCCTCCCTATTAGCAGCCCGTGATTCAGAGCAGAGCACAGGGACCCACTCATAAAATGAACAAATAAACGAGTAAATAAGTAAATAACAAAGCTTGTTCATGATGGATCCCCAATCCTTGGATTTGTTGAGTTTCTATGCCTTAGCCTTAATATTTATATTAGTTAGGTGAAGTTCCATTAAATTATAGCGCCATAATCTTTAATCAAATGAGAAAAAAATATATATATATATTTTTATAGACGCTTACAAAAAAGAAGAGAAAAATACAAAATATTCTCACAAATCATTTTACAGATTTTTCTTGTTTTGTAAAATACAGATAATATCAAGTAAAATGCCTGTAAAAATCAGCATTGACTATATATACTTTTGAAAACAACAAAAGCAACAAAAACAACAGGCCAAAACAGTAAATAATGTCCACCTTTTAAACAAATCAGTGTATTTACAAATAATGATTTATTTTTTCATGATGCATGACTGTAAAATTACAGTTTATTCGTATTTAAATTGGCTAAAAATCAGATTATTTTGCAGATATTTGCAGTTATTGTCACATTTTATTTACACTGGGTTTTTTTTAATGTTACAGTATTTGAATGCTTTCATTGTATTATTTTCTGGCACTTTTGCTGCCAAAGGTTCAGTGTTTTTTTAAAGGATTTTTTTCTTTGCATTGCAGATGTTATTGTTTTCCTCACTGTCAACACTAGAGGGCACAATTCTGACATAAATATGTTTTAATAACCTCATGTCTGGACAGCATTAGCATCTGTTCAAAACTGCACTTTAATGACATTGAACAACAATAAAATCATTCATTTCCATTGTTATAAAGCAAAAGGCTCTCCTCTGGTTCGCCACATGTTCCTTCCTCCTGGAGGTTTCCCATCATTTGCTCGGTTTTCACGACAGAACGCTGCGTGTTGACTGAACTCTTGTTCCTGCTGAACTGAGCCAGTGTGTTTGATCGAACTGCTGTCAGCTCAGAAGGCACAAGAGGGAGGCCAGATGTTTCCTCACAGCGAACGTGGAGGCTGTGGTCAGGAGGCTCCACATGTGGCCTTCTGACGCTTCAAAGTCCACCAGAGAAGCGTTAAATCCTGCACAACGAGCAAAACACGGCAGGAATTACGTTTCCATGTACAGCACTGGTCCTTTATTGTAATTACTTGCAGGCAACTCAACATAAACCAGCCCCCCGTTCTTATTTATTTCCAGTGAAGTCATATTATCTGTTAACAGCAGAAGTAAACACAGTTTTTGCTGTTGAATACAATCTTATGTAATTGTTAAAGGGAAAAATTAATTATCAACAAAAGGAGGGAATTTAGAAGACTTGAGATAAACAAGCCCGAAGGTGCCAGTTCATAATACGAAGACAAACAGTGAAGCTTAAACAAAATCCTTCACGGCTAAAAGTAGGATGCTGGAAGTTGATTTATCCAAACAAGTTTCTGTGCGAACACAAATGTGGCGCACAGATTCTACTCAGTGTTGGTGGTGGGTTTCCGACATTTTGGTTCCTCAAAACCCTGCGAGGTGATCGTCCACACCGACCAGTTCTGCTCCAGATGTGTTCATATGAATAAACCAAACTGTATTCACCCCCAATTCTGTAAAACTGAACTTTGTTAAGATGCATTTTGCCAAATAAGACAACAGCCTTTGAATTGCCTGTATTTGTTCTGAATGGTTTTTCAATTCTGCATTTGTTAAGACAACAGAACTGATTCAGATTGTATAGAAACTGAGGCCTGCAGTTGTTTTTTGGAGTTTTT